TATGTATTTTTTATTAATAGTTTAGTTTACACATGTATGTTGTACATCCTATCACTTTTCATTGCACAAAAACCCATTACAACATGTAAATATTTAATTATCATTCTTTACAGGTAGGCCACTCTACCCTGGCTCATCCACCATCAACCAGTTGAACAGGATAATGTCTACCCTCCCTCCTCCTTCAAGACAAGACGTGGAGAGCATTAAATCACCTTACGCCAAAGCAATACTGGACCAAATAATACACAAGTACATACAGTGTATATGTATAATGTACATGTACATAATATTGCATATAATAAAAAATACTGTATGTTTTTACCATACATGTACATTTATATGTAACTCAGTGATATGTGCTATGTAAATTCATTATAAATGTATGTACAGTGTACATTAATGTACAATGAAATAATGATTGTATCCTATACATACAGATGTCTGAAAGCAGTAGTGTTTTAAGCTGTGACATATCAGTTGACGATCGTTTTATTGTTACTGGATCTGGAGACAAGAAGGCTACAGTGTATGAAGTTATACTATGAGGTATAGTTTGATGAGTTTACTATAATAGCATAAAAGTAATTCTCATTATTTTATTTATTGTTGTGTCCAGTAGGTAATATTTGACTTGCAATGAATAATACAATCTACACTTGAGTTTACTCTTTTTGTTACAAGTACTGACTACAAAACTCTCATGTAATATAAAATCTCTAATAATTCCAGTTAAGATATTGTTTGTCATGTTTGCTATAATGCATTAACATTAATAATAGGCAGTGGCTATTTTTACGGGCCCGTAATCCGACCGTGGGTGGCTATTTTTACGGCAGGATGATTTATCTATGGATTTACTCATTTTAAAACCTGGGAAACACTCTAAAATAAAAAAAACTAAACCCTAAACCAACCTTGGGGACTCCTAACATAACTAGGGGGCTCATAAAATGACTGGGACACTCTAAAAAAAAAACCGCCACCCTAACCCCTAAACTCTAAAAACAATAGCTAAGTAGGGGACTCCTAACATAACTAGGGCTCCTAACATAATTAGGGCTCCTAACATAATTAGGGAACATAGCAAAGTAGAAAGATAAAAAAAATCAATTTGTTAAAGTCAAAATTATTAAAAAAAAAGAAATGGTCTGAGCTGAATTCGAACCAGTGCCCGTCCGTATCCAACCCAGCGTCTTCCCCACTGTGCCACCACGATCCTGCTGCCTTATTGATGCTGATTGTCATGTTTATACGTCACTTCATTTCTATATTCCCTGCCGTAAAAATAGCTGTATACAATGAGATTACGGGACCGTAAAAATAGCCACTACGTTAATAATAATAATAATAATATTAATAAAACTTGAATTCTTTTGATTGTAATATCTTGTATTACTATTATACCTGAGGGTTAGTTTGTAAGTACATTTCTTGTAAGTACTAGCTCAAGTACCTTTTATCATAATCACCAAGAGAGTACCAACTACCAATTATTATTAATTGGACTCACCACTAACTCGGCACTAAGAAGAATATATTCCAATGCATTCAATAGCAGGACCATCACCTCATCAGCAAGCAAAGAAGACATGTTTTAACCTGATGTATTCCTTGACATACCACCAACTAATAATTACTGTACTTATTGTTATAATGTTGGCAGTGATTGGATTTAATTTAGAAGGTGATATGGGTGTGGGTGATTATGAGTAATGAATTGAAATTGTTATTATGGGTGTGGTTGGTTACTGTGGTTAGTTAACTTTCTTCAGTCTTCACAAACAATGTCTAAAGGTCAGTTTCTGTTTCCTTTCTCATCATGTTTGTATTTTACAGGTATCTATCAACTGGGAGGAATAGCGTTTCACTCAACTCCTGTAGTAGGAGAATCAGTGTTTCTGTGGGGAGGGCATAGGCCTGACTTACCTCTTGTTCATGATTCCCCACAAAAGAGGAAATTGTTGTCCACCATTGATAGACTGGAGTTTAGGACTGGTCATTGGTCCTCTCACGTGACCAGAGGAACGTCACCTCCTCTAGGAGTTATAGGATACTTTTGTGCTACCAGAAACAATGAGATCTTCTTTTTTGGTGGTGACTGTGGAGATGAAATGTGCTTTCATAATGACGTGAACTCATTTAACAGTCTAACATATGAATGGAGTAATATAAAACCAACCAGTGATGCTGTAATGAAGAGAGGGTTTGGTGGTATGGTGTGTATGGAGTCTATTGGTACAGAATACCTATTTATGATAGGAGGGAATGGTTCTACACCTACTACATACCAATCACAGTATCAGTATATTCAGATGGTTACTGGTCGTATTTGTACTAATGAACAGAATTTATTAAATTTATCAACAAGTAAGTATTTATTAATTAATACATAATTAACAATCTATACTCTGCTTGTGATGACATATTTTTCAATCATTATTTTTCTTGCCATTTGCTTATTAAGTAGACAGTTGATTTGACTAACTAATTTTGAGTGACATAAACATGTATTTGTGAAAAGTTTAACGAACTTGTCATTTTTCACCAACTATGAATCATCAAAATTAATTTGCAGCCATTATTTCTTACTATACATGAATAAATGTATGTACATGATAATTACAGTTTCATACTTAATAATTCTAATTATACTACCATACAGGTAGTAAATTTTAAGGGTATAAAATTTTGTGTTTTAGTGAAAAGGTCTTAATTTTTTAATTTTGAGAGGGTTTAATTTCGTGTTTTTGCACATGCGTTTGCACATAGATTTTCACTTGCTATGTTTATCTGTGTGACAAAATGACAAATTTTACTTGGTTGTTTTCACCAAACTGTCATCCAGCAAAGTTAATTTGCAACCATTATTTTTGCTATGCATGTATACATGTACAATGTATGTACATGTACACAATGCAGTATCATACTTAATAATTCTTATTATACTACATGTATTTTTTTCTATTTAGGACAATGGATTATTCCAACTATTAGTGGTCAGTGTTGTCCTCCTATTAGTAACTTTGCTATTCAACAGATTACTAATAATAAAGCTGTCATGTTTGGTGGAGGAGTTCCTAGGGATGATGGTTATGATATATCTGTTAATACAGTCTATACATGTCAACTGGAGTCTGATACTACAATAGTAAGTATCTTATTACTGTATGGGATGTATTTATTGCATGGATCAATCATGTTTAGACATTAATACATGTACATACGGATATAGCTTATAATTTGAAAAATGTATTTAAATGAGTATTACATGTAGATTTGCTTTAATAATTTATTTTAATGGAAACTGTACAATTATCACTAGCATTAACATCCACTAAGGCGAGAAAACGTCTGTATAGCAAGTCGTCTAACTATTATTAATCTAAATAGCCTAATCTTCATTTAAAGCGGATGTGGTCACAATGAATAAAATGGTGACTATCAGCAAGTCTGAGTTTATTTGCAGCAAATGGTCAGCAAGATAAGACAAAACTGCTGTCTAAAAACTTTTCTAGCAAGAAAAAAGGTTAGAAAGTAGATATACTGTATACTTGGAAATTTTAGAGTAGCCAAATTTTCGCAGATTTTGTGTTTTCTTGCTCTGTTGTGAAAATAAAAATTGCAAAATTCTGGATTTCCATTGCCACGTGGTGGAGTTTACAAGCTATTCGCGAAAATATTATTTTGTGAAATCTTAAAAATGCGAAATTTGTGAAAATTTAGCGACGCGAAAATATCCCAGTATACATGCATGAGTACAGTCTTTTCCTTGGTATAAAGGACTCTGATAAGTTGAATGCATTAATGCAATTGAGAAAGCTGCATGAGATTTATTCTAGGTGATGTTTCTTCTCTAGCAGCAAGCCTAGGTTAACAAAGCATATATGTAATCTTCAAATATGATTTGTTCAGTGACTACTTCTATAACTATAAGTAAGGCATCTTTAATTTCAGCAAGATACTAGACATGTGCAATTGCTTTGCTATCTCAGACATGTAGATCACACAGCACATAATCTATAGCTTGCTGAGGCTCGCCCCTTTATTGTATTACCTTGCTCCTAGTAATTAAATGAACAAACTCTTAAGTATAATAGAGCAGTGTACATGCATTAATACATTTTATAACATTGATTAATTCATTTTATCTAGCACTGGGAGAGTATTAAGGGACCAGTAGTACCTGCTAGTGTACAGTGGCCAGTGGAGAGACGTGCTCATGCTATTACTAGTATCATCAGTGACTCACCTACACTAGTAATGATAGGTGGAGAGGGTAAAGATAATCAACTAGTAAATGATAGTTGGTTACTGAATACTAGTCAGTACCAGTGGAGTAAGGTATGTGTATAATGTTATTAGTTTAGAGTGTACATGTGTGTGATACAGTGATTGTACAGTAGTTGTCATGTTAATGTATTGTATTGTATTAATACCTTAGAAATACTCACTGTGTGCATGTACAGTACATGTACCTAATGCATGTACATGTATATTCCCTAGAATATTTGTAACATATTGTAAATACTGTTTACATGATAAAATATTACCATACATGTATTATTTCAACAGATTGTTCTACCTGAATCTGTTACTGGTAGACAGCTCCATTCCTTATCATCAATAATGGTGAGTCCAGACTGTGTGTGGTTGGTGGTAGTGGGTGGGAGAGGAACACGTGAATGGAAAAATGTAGGAAGAGGATATGAGGAACCATTTTCTGACTATATCACTGATCCTAATATCACAAATGTAATAGAACTAGGTAAGAACTGAACTATTTTGTATTGTATGTACTGTATAGAGGGATTTATTGGAGATACAAGTTAAGTTTAAGTTTGAATACATCATTGCTGGTATTCCATAACATAACATGAGGGAATTAATATTGTTATAATGAACTGCAATGATAGTTGACATAACCAAATTAGCATGTTCTGTGTATAGTGCAGTGTATTGGTGCCATTTGACCGGCATTTTATTTTAGCAATTGTCCCTTAAAATGTATTTTCTGGTTTGTAATTTGTGAATAAAACAACAATTAATGCATAACATTTATATAGTATTTTACCCTCTAATGCTACATGTATTGTGTTCTATTATTAGTAACAGGATTACATCATGTTTACATGTACATGTACATACATGAATTATTCCTCCTTCATGTTTGTATTAGTTTTAAGAGAAGGTGAATGGAGAGTAAGTGAAGTACTAGATTCTACTGGTCTGACTACTGAGGCCTATCAAGACAAGTATCAGTTATTATTAAAGAAGAGACAATGGTGGCAAGATCAGTTTATAGTATACCCTACAGAGAGAGAAGTAAAACTACAAAATTATGTGGAATCGCTGCAGCAGGAGTTAAGAGTATCTGAGGGAAACAAGACCTCACTGCAGGAAGCACTCCTTGAGGCTAGTCAGCAAGGTATAGTCCTCTACTCTGTGTGTGTGTGTGTCAGTAGTTATTGAACCTATACCACTAGACAAGACAAGAGTAGAAGGAGTGAAAGAAACTAAACTATCTTCAACTAAAGAGGAAGTGTCTACTGGACCAACTGATGGTAAGTATATACACACACAATAATAGTTAAAGACTTGTTTGATGTGTGTGTGTGTTTACTAGTTTATAAAGATAATGATGATCTTAAAGGAGAGGAGAAGGAGGAGGAGCAGACAACAGCAACTAAACAAACAACCAGTGAAGGTATATCCTTATATGGTAATATGTTATCATACATTAATTTTGTGTAGAAGAGATTGATAAACTTAAAGCTAAAGTTGTTGATATTGAAACTTATATAGCCACACTGACAGAGGAGAAAACTCTAACTAATGGTAAAACTATCAGTATTACTGTATGATAATACCTTTTTGTTATTTTTTGTGTAGTAGAGAATGAGAAACTTAAAGCTAATATAACCATGCTGACTGAAGAGAAATTGCAATTTGAAAAGAAGATCAACATTTCAACTGGTAATACTATTTTTATTGCTCCAAATAGTGGATACTTTTCGTTAGAAGATAATGAGAAACTTAAAGCTAAAGTTGTTGATGATGAAATGGTAATTGCTAAACTGACAAAAGAGAAATTACAACTAAAGGAAGAGTTGCAGTCATTGAAAGATATTTCAACTGATACTAAGAGTATTCAATGTGACTACTGGACTAAAGCAGGTTAGTGTAGTCTATTTTTTAAGTATTAATAATCTGTTATTGTATAGAATTACCGTTTGATGGTATGGTAACATTGGGTAAGAAGGTGTGTCTGTATAATGCTAACAGTAGTCATGAGTTAGAGTTGGATGAATGTGGTCTTACCCTCTCTCTACCTGATGGACTCTTCTCTCCAGTGGATAGCACTGTCTATGAAGCTGCTGCTCAAGGTCTATGGGGAGGAGATTTTGAGTTCCCTGGAGGCACACATCTGATCAGTAGTGTGTGTTACATATCTGTGTCTCCTACTGTTCCTGAACTGGATAAACCAGTGACTGTACAGCTAGTACATTGTGCTCATTTGAGCTCTGAATCTCAGAGTGAGTATCTGAGCTTTGTAGTAGCTGAGGTTCAACCTGGCAAACAGTGCGGCCCTTTTAAGTTTGAGTTGTTACCAGGAGGATCATTCTCAGCTGAGTCTCAGACTGGTACTATAGAATTGAAGAGTTTCTCACTGGTTGCTATTGTGAAGCGTGTTATGAGGGCACTGACTAGAGCCCTACTTCCTAATAGTTAGTGAATTTTCTATTCTGTTCTAATTCTAATCCTTTTAATTTGTAGATCCAAATTGTTTTTGTCGTGGCTTATTTTATAACAAGTGTTCAGCCAGTAAATTGGTTCTGAGTTTCCTTGTACTACAGGATTTACCTTCATCAGAACAAGTACATAATTTTAATTATTTTTATGTTAAATTTATTGACTTTTCCTTTTAGCTTCTCCAGTCTAGTGCTGTCCAGTGTCTTGGTAATTTGGAGACAACTTTTCGCTTTCTTTTTGTAAAAGACAAAAATTGTATTTTAAAAGTGTCTAATATTCCTTCTCATGATGTCAATGGCTGGCAAATCACACCACTCAATCCTCTTGTTGTAAGATCTAATGGGGATGCATGTATATGTGTTGGGCATGCATAAAGTTTGTGATATTGCTTTACAGATGCAGTCATGTACTCACAGTTAAACCATTAATTTTTCATGAAAATAGACAAAATTTTCATTCCTAATTTTTCTTCTTTTATTTTCATTGTGATAGATCAGTGAGAGTCATGTTGTTGATTATAGTGCCAGTAAAAGTGCTGAGCCTCCATACATTCAAGTATCAGTACAACCTGATAAAACTGATGCTACTAACAAGATGTCTCATGCTTTGTCTATTGATGGGATAAAGACATCATCTGATGCATCTACTGTTCAATGGAATATTGAAGTATCTAAGAATGATTTATTATCATCAGGTATGCTATAATGCAGTTATTATTGTTTTAAAAACACATCATATGTAGGAATTTCTTCTAAAATTGATAGAAAAAGAGAAAGAGGATCAGGTATATGTAGCCTTTAGCTTATGCCACTCTTTAGTATTGCATTCCTTCTCTCTTTAGATAATGATCTTGATATTGTTAAGGAAAAGGTTGAAGATGTTTTAATGAAGAATCAAGTTGCTTTAAAGAAAGCTTTCAGTTTATCATTGCAAAGCATATCAGATGAACTCCTTCAAGTTGGTATCATATCACAAGATATACACAGATCACCATCTTATGATGACATCATTGGGTCTTTCCTAGCCGGCCTTACTTTTATAAGCAATGATGCCAAACTGATGGAAAGGTGTGATGTGTTTTTATCAGCATTATCTAAAGTTGGTGGACCAGTAGCTGATGCTGTTGATATGTTAAGAGAGGAATGGAATCAAGCTGTAACTAGCAAAATTAAAAGATCCTAATGTCAAGTGAGTCTTTAAGATTGTGGGTCAATAAAATCCTTTTTGTCATTTTCTTTTGTGTCTGCAGGCCTTAGTATTCAATGCTGCTGATTGAAAACATTTTAGAGTTGGAACTAGCAATGGAGAATTATGATTACAGTGCTTTTTAAATGTATACATTGTATATTTTTATTTGTGCTTTTATTTTTGTTTCATGCAATTTCTTTAATATTCAAATTTTATGCAAAACCTGAAGAAGGGGTGGAGCTGGCTGGTGGAAGAGATTTTGGATTAACAAATTGAATAAGACAGAGTAATGGGCAACTGAGGAGTGAGAGAGACCTGGTTACTAATAAAGGATGAGGTGAGGGGTGGATTGAATGAAAGGTTGTGTTTGGTACATGATTGAGTACATGATACCAAAAGTATGATAGTTTGAAGTAATATCCACTCAGTACTGTATGTACATCAACATTATTATATTAAAATGGAAATACATTTTTATTCTTTTTATTAATTTAAGTATAATTACATACAAATATATTGTATATGTATATTGTAGGTGTAAAATGTACATGTAATGTCGTGTATGAGATTGTTTTGATTGAGATTGGTAGGCAATAGTTTACTGAATGTGAACTGATAGTAATCTTATGTCAGGAATGCAATGACACTAAAGGTGGTGGGTTCTCAATATGATGCATTGCTTTTCATGCACTTGTGTCATGACTGGAAGTGTTGTCTAAACAAATGGGAGCAAGCATCAATATGTCAGATTAGAAAAAATTCTGTTTTGATGCATTGACGCATAATCCCATTTGTTTATATAATACTTCTAGTTACAGAACATAGGAACATGTATGTGCATGTATTTAAAACAGAGAATGCTCTCCTTTAGCAATTTTTGAAGAAGAGTGGAGAGAGGAGCATTATGAGTATGTTTGTTATTGTGTATATAGGCTGATAGTCCTAAAGGTCCAGAAGGTTCTTCAGGTAGTAGGAATGGCTCTAATAAACGTCCAGCCCCTCCTCCTGATAGTGAAGATGATAAAAGTAACAATGAAGGAGAACTAGTCGTTGATGAGGTACTTTATAAGTTTGTCTATTCATTCACAATGTACACATCCTCATTAATAGGATCCTTCTTCTCCTTCAAACACTCCAGCAGCTGCAATGGTAATGGCTCAGGTAAACTGTATTACATGTACATATACTAAGAGTGTGTGTGTGTGTGTCATTTAAATGTTGTTTTTAATGGAAAGTTTATATTTATCAATTTACTAATTATTTTATTATTTAATAGGCACAGCAGCAGTCCAATTCAGATCTTCGTCCATCTTCAAAATGACCCTCGACTCCATCTTCAGCAAAAAGTGACAAACCATCTTCTGTTCCTCCTAATCGTCCTAATTCAGTTGGTCCTATCACTGTTAATGGTCCTGGACCATCTAATGCTAGCTCT